AAAGTTTATGTACAAGAAACACAAAGTAAGTTTAGATAATGTTTACTTTAAAATTATCGATTGGTAAGTTTGCCAACTTGGCATAAATAGCATGGTTTATCCCTAGCTGGTAAAATTGCGTTAATTTTTAGTGGCAACTTATGTACAAGCATAAGGATGATTCATAGAAATAATGTTAGATATGATGCCCTACAAATTGTCTTAAAGCAGAAATAAAATTATCCACCTTAAGGTACTAGGGATGAGTGAAAGGCGAAGTTTATCCTCGGGTTGTTTACACGTGCAAGAATTTTTGCTGATATGCGAGCAGAACCTGCTAGCTCTCATGAGCCTTTCTAAGGAGTTACCAAGCAAATGTTTGCACTCTAGGTGCCATGAGTTTCTGCTTTCATACCTGATTAAGAATATTCTTAACCTATGTGGAAACATGTCTTGGTTGATTGCTATGATTAGCCTCAACATCCTGCAAACAAAGCTTGTAAGTATTTTTATAGTTGCACTTGCCATTATGAGTGAGATCCCAGCACAAAATATCATTGCTTTCATCCTTGATGAAAGGAGTGTTAATGATAACATAAGCAATGGGTTCATAAAAGTGTGGCAGATTAGATCATCATTCCACTGTTTTTGGTTAGGTATCCAAAGACCATTTACCTTTACCAGATAGATGAAGTTGGCATCCTGCAAGATAAGATGGTCATACATAGCAGTCTAGGCAGAATAACAGGGTTAGCTCCAGATAGAAATGCCCCCCATTAATATCATAAAAGGAATGAACTTTTTAATTTAGGCAACATTTTAATAACCGAGGTCCAAAAACTAGATTTTTTGGGATATTACTTCTAGCCGTCCAAATAGAAGAATACCAAAAATATTAGCACTAAGAATGTGATGAAGATTGGAAGAAGGGGATTCGGCAGTCCTCCAAGGAGCAGACAAAATTAGACCTTGGTTCATGGCTTGAAGATTTTTAGTACACATCCCACCTTCTTTCTTGGAAATGGAGATATCCTTTGAGTCTCTCAAACAAAGACTCTTTGAGCTATCTCCCTCCCTTATTCCTATACACCAAAAGGTTCTAATGATAGCTATGAGTTTGGTAATAATTTTTTTAGAAAACAAGATATTGGACATGCAATACACAACAATGGAATAAAAAAACAAATATAACGATCTCAAGTCTAGCAACATGTGAGAGCTTATTGGATTTATAACCAAAAAGTTTAGCTGGAAACCTATGCGCCACAAAGTTGTAAGTTTTTGTTCTGTTTTTACTGGGTAATATTAGAGGGTGGCCAAGGTGAGTAAATGTGTTGCTCATGTCATCAACAAGAAGAATATCCTTAATATCTCTTTGGTTTGGTCGTTAACCAGAGCACTATTATGAATTGCTGACTTTGCCCATTTGGGAGCTTGGCCAGAAGTTGCACAAAAGTGGTTAATGATGCAAGCCCTTACCCGAGCTTCATATATATTAGTTGTACCACAAACTAGAAGATCATCACCAAAAACAAGAGAATGAACTGGTGTGTAAGTTGGTCCAAGAGAAATTCCTTGAAGATATGCATAGTCATGGCATCATTGAGGTAAATGTGAGCTCATTTATAGCAAGAACAAATAGATAAGGAGACATGGGCAACCTTGCCTAATACTTTTGTTACCCCTGAATCACTAAAAAGATTGGCCATTAACGATGACCGAGAAAATATGTGTAGAAATGCAAGCAAAATAAGATTGATGAAATGAGCATGCAACCTTTTATGAACAAGCGCGTAAACAATGTAGTTCCACTCTAAGCGATCAAAAGCTTTGGCGAGATCAATTTTTAACATAAAGGCATGATGTTCCTATTGGGAAACGTAGCATGCAATTTCAAAAAAAAAATCCTACGCTCACGCAAGATCTATCTAGGAGATGCATAGCAACGAGAGGGGGAGAGTGTGTCCACGTACCCTCGTAGAACAAAAGCGGAAGCATTTTCTTAACGCACTTGATGTAGTCAAACATCTTCTCGTTCCAACTGATCAAGTACTGAACGTACGCCACCTCCGAGTTCTGCACACGTTCAACACGATGATGTCCCTAGAGCTCTTGATCCAGCAGAGTGTTGAGGAAGTAGACGAGTTCCGTCAGCATGACGGCGTGGTGACTGTGATGGTGATGTGATCCATGCAGGGCTTCACCTAAGCACTGCGAGAATATGACTAGAGGCGTAAACTGTGGAGGGGGGGGGGGCGCACACGGCTTGGAACAATTGATGTGTGTTCTAGGGGTGCCCCCCGTATATAAAGGAGGGAGGGAGTGGAGGCCGGCCCTAGGCGCACCCCCAAGTAGGAGGAGTCCTACTTGGGGTCCTAGTAGGATTCGTACCCCTTCCTTTTACCGGAGAGGGGAAGGGGGAAGGAGAGAGAGGGGGAGAAGGAAAGCGGGGTGCCCCCCCTCCCCTTGTCCAATTCGGACTCCTCCCTGGTGGGGGGCGCGCCACCACTATGTGGGCTGGTGTGACTCCCTCCTACGGCCCATATGGCCCATATCTTCCACCTGGGGGGTTCTGGTAAACCCCCCCGATACTCCGATATGTACCCGATACACTCTGGAACACTTCTGGTGTCCGAATACTATCATCCAATATATCAATCTTTACCTCTCAACCATTTCGAGACTCCTCGAATGTCCGTGATCTCATCTGGGACTCCGACCAACATTCGTCACCGAATCACATAACTCATATAATACAAATAGTCATCGAACGTTAAGCGTGCGGACCCTATGGGTTCGAGAACTATGTAGACATGACCGAGACACCTCTCCGGTCAATAACCAATAGCGAAACCTGGATGCTCATATTGGATCCCACATATTCTACGAAGATATTTATCGGTCGAACCGTAATGACAACATACGTTATTCCCTTTGTCATCGGTATGTTACTTGCCCGAGATTCGATCATCAGTATCTTCATACCTAGTTCAATCTCATTACAAGAAAGTCTCTTTACTTGTTCCGTAATATAGCATCCCGTAACTAACTCATTACTCACTTTGCTTGCAAGGCTTCTTATGATGTGTATTACCGAGAGGGCCCAGAGATACCTCTCCGATACTCGAAGTGACAAATCCTAATCTCGATCTATGCCAACCCAACAAACACCTTCAGAGATACCTGTAGAGCATCTTTATAATCACCCAGTTACGTTGTGACGTTTGATATCACACAAGGAATTCCTCCGGTACCCGAGAGTTGCAT